ATGGCTCCCACTGCCAGAGGGCAGCCAGGGATGGGATCTTGGGAATGAGGAATTCCTGGCTGGGCTGGGATTGCCAGAGCAGCTGGGGCTGCCCCCGGATCCCTGGAATGTCCAAGGAAAAGCTGGAGCAGCCTGGGATAGGGAAGGTGTCCCTGCCTGTGACAGGAGTTGGAATTGGATGATCTTTAAGGATTTTTTCCCACCCAAACCATTCTGGGATTTTAGGAAGGTGCCTGGTGGCACCTTTCTGGGCAGTTCCCATGGGATTACAGGATTCCCATAGGATAACAATTGCTGCCTTATGGATCTGATCTGAAGGCAGCTGACCCTGATTTTCCATCTGCTCCAAGATCCTCTGGAGCTCCTGGTACCCCCAGACCTGACCAGGACAAAGCAGATCTGTGCAATCCCAGGTTTGGGATGGATCCAAGCACAGAGCTGATCCCAAATTCCACCTTCTGCAGGAAGGACATGGACACACCATCCAGACCCTGCTGTCCCTCGGTGCTGATCTCCAGGCTAAGGATGGGAAGGGCCGTTCTGGTGAGAATTCCAAGCTGGTTTTCCAAGCTTTATGTGACACCAAGAGCTTCCGTAAGCACATCCTAACCTCAGCGTGCAGGGAGATGCCAAATCCATGGATACATTTGCTCTGGGAGTACCATGATGGATTATCCCAGGGTTTTTTTGGGTATTTTGCATTCCCTGGCTTTCAGTTTGCTGGAATTTCTGCTGGGGCTTTTCCCTTGGGGGAAGAACAGAGACCCAAATTGAGAATTGGGAATTTCCTGCTTATTTTCCACCTGAGGATCTCCGATGCTGCCTCGAATTTGGCTGGAATGATCCTGTTGGAAGCAGGTTGGATGGACAAACACAAGGATTGAGCTCTCCAGCCTCAATTCCTTAGCAAACAGCCTGGAAATGGCTGATGAGCAAATAATACCAGAGAGCTGGCACGGAGATGGAGTTGCTATAGCGATGCTGGAGAGTCGGCATTCCCAGCGGGAAAGGCTCGGGCAGCTCTTGCATCAGCATCTCTCCCCCCAAAAAAATTAAAAATTTAAAAAAAAAAAAAAAAAAAAAAAGACAAATTTGTTTCAGCCATCGCCAAAATTGGCAAATTCCCCAGCCTTGGGGTTTGGTTAAAGCCACGTTTTAGCGGTGCCATCTCTCCCTCCGCCCCCTCAGGGACTAAATCCAAGCTCTGCTGAGCTCATCCAACCCTGGGATGTTTTTCCTGTGGCTTCTCCTTGGCTGGGTTTGGGTCACGGCGTCCTTGGGAAGCTTCTCATCCACGTCAGGATTAGATCAGGATCCCTCCTTTGGATTAGGAAGATTTTTTTAATAGTGAGAGTGAGGAGGGGC